AGCTGAGACTGTCCCTGGGAGCCCTGGTGTGACTGTGAGGGGGGTGTGCGGGGACTCCAGCGGGACCCGCCGGTCACGGGAGCCGCCGCTGCAAAGGGGCTTCAGTCCCGCAGGGAAAGTCACTGGTGGTGGGAGAGCGACTGCCAGGGAGTCCCGGGAATGGCCAGGCTGGGAAGTTTCCTCAACACCAGAAATACACACGTTGTACCAGGCAGTAACCGCTCTCCTGCACTGTGTCCATCTACATTTTGTGCCCACAGGCTTCACCCCAGGGTAGGTGTTTGCTGAGGAATTACTCGGCTGTGACAAACACAAAAGAACCTGACCCAATCCCATGCACAGTCACGCCCCACACCACTGCCTGGCAGCACACAGTGCTCTGCTTAGTTCTCCTTGTGAGCTTGCAAAAAATCAGTTTTTCATAGAGCATGACCAAATCTTGACTGAAATATAGGCCTTTTTCAAGAATGACTGAAAACAGAAATAAATTGTAAGCCACACGTGCAAATCAGGTCAAATACAATCAAAGCAACCTAGACGGGGTACAAGTTGTATCAATTGGCATGGCAACACAACTAAGACTCCAGTTTCACCCTGCTATGAAATCAAGCCAGGGACACAAATTAACACTGTATATGTGTACAGATGTCCAAATATAATTTTCCATATGGTTTTAAGTTGAAACATTTACTCTCAGCTTACTGCTAATTCAGAGAACTGTTTACTAAAACACTTTAACTGTTTGAAGCTGGAACTTCATTGAAATATTAAAAATTCAGCTTAAAATACCACTGAACCTTTAAGAGCCAGCCTCAGAGGAGCTCAACTTTCCACGTATCAGGTATGAACCAACATTACTGAACGCAGACTAGAACACTGCAGATTACTGTGCACCAACAGAACCAAGACTGTTACTCAACACTGGGAGATAAAGTGTAGGCACAGTGCATGGTGCAGAACACCGACACATGTTTTGAGACAGGGCTGTTCTTTTCAGATCAGTGAATCACAAAGTATTTTCCGTTATGCAACGCTCCATCTAATGAGCTAAAAATAGCCAAAGAAATAGCGTGGGAAATATGCAAGAACTCGTATTGCAGCTTTATTTCCCACAGGTTTAACAAGTAGCTGCATAACCTGGAAAAATCTATCCACCCTTCAAATTTTGACAGGTAATTCAAAGCAAAGGTTTTCAGAGTCAAAATAAACCCTTGCAGAAAAATATACTATTGAATATTTCACAGTGCAGCCATTTTAATGCATCTTTGAACTTTCACAGAAATAAGTTACTGTCATTTCAGGAGAGCTGGGAGCTCTCCTCTTATCAGCAATTAATTCAGTTCTTTCCTCCAAAAGACTGAGATCTGTCCCATTAAGACATCATATGACAAAGACCTCAGCATTAAGGACACCGAGACTCTGCTCACTGTTCAGGGCCTTCTACTACAGCCCAAACTCTCCTGCAGCCCACAGATCTGAGGATTCCCTCATCAGTCTGCAAGTGACAACGAGGTGACCTGCTGGAGGGCAGGAAGGATCTCTAGAGGGATTTGGACAGGCTGGATCAAGAGGCCAAGGCCACTGTATGAGGTTAAACGAGGTGAAGTGCCAGGTCCTGCCTTTCAGTCACAACCCCACACAGAACTCCAGGTCTGGGGCAGAGCAGCTGGAAGGTAGCCCAGCAGGAAAGGACCTGGGGTGCTGATCAACAGCAGCTGAACATGAGCCCAGGTGTGGCCAGGGGGGCAAAAAAACCAAGGGTACCTGGCTTAAACCAGCAACAGTATGATCAGCAGGATGAGGGCAGTGATTGTCCCCAGTGCTGGCACTGCTGAGGTCAGTTCTGGGCTGGAGCGTGTCCAGGGAAGGGTCTGGAGCACCAGGAGAGGCTGAGGGAGCTGTGGGGGCCAGCCTGGAGAAAAGGAGGCTCAGGGGGGACCTTCTGGCTCTGCAATCCCTGACAGGAAGGGGGAGCTGGGGGGGGGGGTCAGGCTCTGCTCCCAGGGAACAAGGACAGGAGGAGAGGGAACGGCCTCCAGCTGTGCCAGGGGATGTTGAGATCGTACATTAGGGAAAGGTGCTCCATGGAAAAGGCTGTCAGGCATTGGCACAGGCCACTTAGGGCAGTGGGGGACTCACCAGAAGGTAGTTAAAAGGTGTGTGGATGTAGCACTTGGGGACATGGTTTAGTGGTGGGCTTGGCAACACTGGGGGAATGATGGGACTCGATGATCTTAGAGGTCTTTTCCAACCTGAACAATTCTATGTTTTCATGATCCTCATTGTTCCCATATCCAGCAAGGCTTGGTACAGCTCTCCTCCCATGCCCTCTAGAGCAGACGAGAGCCTGTGGCCTGCCTCTGCCCCATCACATCCCACCTGCCAGGACACAAGCACCAGGCAGCTGTAACATGGCTCCAGCTCCACAGGGCAGGAGAAGCAGAGACCGAGAGACACCTCAAACCCAGCAGCATGCAGCAGTGACAAGCACCTAACAATTCCGATTGTGATTGCCATTAACACACACACTATAGTGCTCCACTAATATTCATGAGTCATTCTTCAGGGCACACGATGAAGAGTCACAGTGATGGAGACTAACACACACACACACTGCAAAGTGCTAAATATCAGAGGTGCTGAGCTTACACAACAACAGAGACAACCCAACTCAGATCTTCCCTTGCAGAACAAAGACAGACACACTGAGTCCAAGTATACCAGCAAGATCTCACTCCGTATTGCTCATTCACTTCTGCATTGCTCTGCAGGCCACAAATAAGCAACAACAAAGGAAAAACACGTCTAACCACGATCATGTCTAACCCACACACGTGTTTAGTTCCAGAGGGTTTCTCCTACCTGGACGTAAGGGCACAGATGACCTTGCTCCACTGCTCAACTACTGCAGGGTGATGTCGCCAGTTGGCCACCATCTCTTTGGCAGTTTTCCAGTAGGGGGGTGTTGGGAAGCACCGCGTGCAGGCGAGTAACCACACCTCGAACAGCACGCCGATTAACTTCTCCGCCAGGTTCTCAGCAATGCCACCTGGCAACAGAAGCAAAGCACACTTCAGTCAGTATTACCATCTAAACTTCGAGTATCACCCCAAAGAGGTTTCTGTTTAAGTGCACAAAGATCAAGCTCACTCTTTCCTAATTTTTAAGAGTGATTCTTGATTCCCTCCTACAGCTAATTAGCCTTTTTGGAAAACCAGATGTGACAGACAAAGCCCAGCCACTTGTGTGTCAGTAAGGGACACTGGGAATTCACCAATCTTAGGCAGTCTTCTACTGCACTTCATCTATGGTGAAGTGTTTTTTGAAATAGGTAAAACTGACACTACTGTTTTTCAGTAGGCAGGCCAAAGAGTAAGACACAAGGGGTTTCAGTGAAACAAAGAGGGAACATCATCTGAAATGGTTCACCATGAACTGCTCCTGTACAGAGTCACTGTCCTGCAAAACTACTCTCAGGAAAACTCAGCTCCAAATCATTCTCTGGCAATGTGTTATTTTGGAGCAATGCAGCAATATTAGGAGTGAGTTATTATGCTTTGCTGGCTACTAAAAGCTTTTAACAGGTTCCTCCATCCTGCTGGCAGCCCAACACCAAGCACAGCCAAAAGGTTTTCCAGTAATTGAACCAAATGGAAGATGAACACGAACCTTGCACAGTTGGAGCTGCTAGAAGAGTGTCATTGATCTGAAGAAGAAATAACAACAAAACCTCCCAGGTTTCTCTTGCCATAATTGTCGATTCATGAGCCAGTTTCTGGACAGCTTTCAAAACCTGCAAGCACAACCTGATCTGACTGGATCCTGGGTCTGGTCTGCAAGAGAAAAAAAACAGTGCTTGAGAAACAGAACTTCAAAGGGATGGATACAGTAACAGCAATTTCCAGCAGCTACAAGAGGAAACAAACATAACTGAAGGTGAGCCAGGAACATGACCAATATGCTTCTGTGCACCCTAACTCTGTCTCCAGGCATCCTGACTCTGCCTCAAGGAGCACAAGATGTACCGTCACACTCCTCTCTACGTGACAGAGACCCCCTGCCACAGAGTGAACACTCACTGGAGCAAGCACAACCCATCATCGCCAAGGAATTCAGTCTGGGCCAAACAACCAGAATGTACTTGAGACATCATGAATTGTTACATACATAATCCAGAAGTGGTAAAATGTTTCTCATTGTTAGCAAACTAATTTAAATTCTTCCTAGTTCTCCTCTCGCTTCCAAGTCAACTCTTATTCCTTCTTCCTTAAGTCTGATTTTCCTTTTAATGACCCCTTTCTACATATTTTTCTGTAAATCCAAGCAACTGGGGGTGAGTAAGGAAGAAAGGAAACCATTTCTCATTGTCAAAGTTTTCACTGTAGTAATGATCAGATCCACAGTGGCACTGCTGAGTCACTCAACGTGAAGTGTTGCAGCAGCAGCACAAAGCAGCATCACCTCTTCCCATCAGTTAGCCTGGACAAGGCAGAACATGCACAAAACAGTAACATGACATGTTCTGGACAGTATCTGACAACAGTGGTAAACACAGCTGAGGAAGCCTAAAAGTTTAAAGGGTGGAAGAGATTACAAATTAGAGTGTGCTATATATGTAAGGCATATTTTAACCTGTGCACCATTTCCTCACCCCTCCTACCACTTACTGAAGGGATGACCAAAAAGATCATAGAAGCATAACCTTCCACTGGACTACTGAGGAGTATTATGGGATTCCTACCAAACACTTCCAGTGTGGTATAACTCACAAGTCATGTTGCATGGCAAGAACCCCAAGAACCTGCTGGTCCACTAAACACTATCAGCTCTTATCTTTATAGCATAAATGCTGTGTTACAGTACTGGAAACAAGATTACAAAGAGACAAGACAATGCCTAATGCAAAATTGCAGGCCACTAGCCCCAGTTCAGGACCTCAGTGGGTCGCTTGATGGCAGTGCTAGGTCGTAACCCAGAATCTCTGGAGAATAACAAACCTGGGGACAAGTAAGTCCTGCCTTGCTTATAGCACTATTTTTTGCCTGAGCAACAACAGAGCAGATACTTTAAACTAAATGATCTACATAGGTTTGAAGCTTCTAAGCCTGTTTCAAGACTCGTTTCCCTAATAATTTAGAGAATCTGTGAAAAAAAAAAATGTAGGAGCTCCATATGCAAGTAATAGGATACTTCTGAGCTAATCTCATAAAGGCAACTCGAAGGTCCCTGCCCATCTACAAGTTCCTCTTCTTCACAAAGTCAACCCAATGGCAAGTTTTGCTTGCACCATTTCTACAGAGCTGAGCTTTTGGCCACACTCCTTTGCAACAAGAACTGTTCTCATGATTTCATATGAGAAGCATATGAAGTTATTACAAAAAAAGCACTTGGACAGTCACCTGTTCCATGGAGTCTCAAGCAATTCCAGACATTTTGGTTGCACAGAGGATCCTGGTAACTGCACCTCAATCTCCTGGGGAGGCAAGGCACAGCAGAGAGTTCTCACATTTCCTTTCTGTGCTTCCAACAGTGTTTGTGGCACTGAAACTTTATCTGACAGCAGCAACAACCACTACTGCTTAAGTAATCTTCAAGACTTCCTGAATATTCTAGGGTTTGCAGAGATGAAACCTTGGGGGGTCACCTGGGGACTGCTCAAACACGTCACCACAGTGTTTCTTCGGGCTGGACTGAAGGTCAGTGCTGGAAGGAAGGACAGAAGCCAACTCCCTGCAGTCACTCCAGCAGAGAGAGCAAAGGCAACTCGATTCACACAGCTTTCAGGATTCATTTTTCAGCACCAGACTGTTTCAAGGGCCATGTGTGTAAAGATTTGATTCAGCTGAGTGCTCAGACTGGAATGATCTATGCACACCTCCTCTGTAGCAGTGTACACAAGCTCCTGAGATGCCATTTACACTGAAGTGCCTGCTTCAGGCTGCTGCATTTCACACCTCAGCTGTACATCCTCCTCAGGGTCTGAAACCTCCACACAACTCTGGGCCACCACTTTCAAGGCAGCCAAACCAACAGCTATATGGTTTCCAGGGAACCAGCATGAGGAAGGAACCTATTTTAATCACAACCCTCCATAGGACAGAGGCTTATAATAAAGGCTTAGTATTTTCAACACAAGAACAGGAGATTTTTCCAGGAGACAGTTCAACACAGGTCGCTAGTGGAGCTCCTGGGTAAGTACTCTACAGGAGCCCACCAGCACCAGCAACCTGCATCAGCTGGGTAAGACCAGAAATTACTCTCCTCTTCCCCACCACAGGCAGGTTAGACCGAGCCTTTGCTTTTACTCGAGCCAGGTGTGCACAACTCAGTTCTGCATTTCATTTCCAGAAGAGAAATTCCTCCTGTTGCTGGAGTGAATTCTGAACACAACTCCCTGGAGGGCAAAACTTGGAGTTCTTTTTTCTGAAAATGGAGCAGGGACATGAACACCAAGCACTGACAGCAGCAGCCACGAAAAATCACTGTTTCAGATACACCTCAGAGACTCTTGAAAGGAAAACCATAGATTGGTTATATTGGAGGGGCGGGCAGTGTTTAAAATAATGATTTCTCAGCCTGCCCCTGTCTCTAGAGGTTAATTACTGCACTCAACAGTCATCACGTGTATCTACCACCCTGCATCAAGCTCCAGCCATGAATTTGAGAGAGAAGGGTGAAATAGCACTTGTGCCAACAGCATGCGAGAAGCTGGACTACTGAGCTGCCTGTTACCAGGGCCCCTGGTGTGAGAGCAGGCAAGGGATGACACAAACAACTATTTAATGGACTAGCAAAGAACTTCTCTGCTGTGCCAAGGGCATAAAAGACAGCACACTGCAAGTACTAAAGCTGAGACAACCTCCTGCAGCACAAACTTGCCTTCAGCAGGCTTGTGCTGCTGCCCTGACCATCCTTTAATGGGAATTAAAATTTCCAAAATTTAATGGGAATTAAAGTTTCCACTACAAGGTAAAAGCAACAACCACTAAGGGTAGGTGGCAGACTTTGAAGCAATCAGTAAATAGCAATGAACTCCTAGTCTGAATTTGCATAAGTTATTATTCAAAATCCTTTATTAACAAAGCCTTCACGTAAAGTGGAACGAGCCAAGTGCAGCAGAGCACTTTGAAGGCCACTTGCAGTGATATATTATTAATACTGATAAAAGCAGATGATCTGATACTTATGGACATACACCAAACATTGATCTGAAGTTAAGTGAATCTCCTCTTACTTATCTGATACACGTGTTCAACAGCAGCAGGTAAACTTGCCATAAACTATAAACAAGGTATGATGTTTGAGCACTTGGACAAGGGAGCTGTGTCCAAGACATAGAAACACATCCATTCAACATCAGCATCCAAGGATGTCAGGCAGCAAGCACACCTCCATGGGGTTCTTTCAAAACTACCCGTGAGGCACAGTCAGCACAACCATGCTCATTTAACAGGCCGCAAGATGCAGTCCCAAAGCACTCACTCACTGCAAGATCCTCCAGCACAACAGAAATGTGGTCAAATCCTGAATCACCAAAGGCTGGGACTGCCATGATGTGCTCTTGGTTATCTCAGTTTCGAGCAATAAAAAGCACACAGTCACGTAGTGATGCTCTTCAGCCTTTCCCCCACCCTCCAGTCATCCAACAGAGACAGATCTTTGTAGGACAGTAAACATTCAAGTCTAGGAATGATCTGTGATTCTGACGACCTAAACCCAGCAGCAACAACTCAATTTGCTACTGAAAATTACAAAACAGGTGTGAAGAAGCACGTTCCTCCTAATCTTGCAGCAGAAACGGCCTTATTTTAGTCACGAACCTCTGTGCCTCACGAGGTCTCTGACACAGCCCGGAATCCCTCAGCCTCCTGAGCACCCCAGCCCCCACACTCACCTCGGTACAAAGAGGTTTTGGAGATGCTTGAGAATGCTTTGAACATAAAGGTTTGGTTCCTTAATGACAGGTAAGGGAATGGAGTCCTTAGGTAACACGAGAGCCATAATCCAATCTGTATATACATCCACACAGTATTTCACAGTATCGCCATCCAGAGGGAGAGTCAGTCCATAACAAACCACTTCCATAGTCCATTTTACCTACCAAACACAAAGCAAAAGTTATTAAAAAGAAATATTAGCAAGTAAAGAATGGTCAGAGCACACTGGTTCTAACTCAAAAAAATATCAGCAGTCATGTGGTATGGGCAATTCTCATTAACACATCCTGCAAGAAAACACCAAATCACTAACTTGTATATCATGATATTATGAAGAATATGAATAAACTGCAAATCACTCTTAAATTCTAAATCTTTTCAGTCTAACCTGTAGAGAGAGCTCTTCAGAACACACAAAAGCTGATGATGAACTAGCTGTTAATAGAAGCCTTATGTAGATTAGTAACCTAAAAATGTAACACACTTCATAAAACTTGGACTATTAAAAAGAGAAAAATAAAAGAGGCTATAGAAAACCATGAAGTTGCCGCTCTGGCATGAAGGAACCTGTGATCTCCAAGAAATGCACTTACTTCTTTGTCTGTTTTTAGTAAACTCTCACTTCCAACAGAGGATGTAATTAAAGCTTGTCCAAGAGGACGCACCACTGCATTTGCCACTTCTCTCCCCACGTTTTCAGGATAGCTGTGAAGTACACTGGTATTCCCCTGATCATTTTGAATGACAAGATGCAAGGATCTCCACTCTGAGTACATAGTGCCTCTATGCTACAATCCAAACAACACCTGGGGGGCAAGGAAGGAAAAAAGACAATTAGTAGAAATGTCTGTGATAGGAGTTATCAAAACTGAGGCTGTTTGTCACAATCCAGACCCCTGTAAATTCAAGATGCACATGTCCATGTCATACCTTTGAAGATCTGGAAGAGATTCCAACAGCTGTCCTTCAACCTTAATAGGTTTTCATATAAATATAACGCACATTAGAGATTGCAGCAAGTTTCAGTTTGGGACTATCAGCCCATCTGAGACACTCAAACTTGAGAAGAGACTTCACCCCACATTTCTCCTTGCCTCATCTTTGTACGAAAGATGCTTTCACTTATATGACATCTTCAGCCAAGTAAAAAATAGTTCTACAAGTATATTGCTCATAGAAGCAATGGCTGCAATTCATCCCTTTTCTACCTCAATAGTAGTTAAAAATAGATACCAGGGAACTTTCAGGAAAACCTGAGTCATTTCAGAAGACAAAAATTCAACCTCTTTTACATTCATAAGGTATTTCTCCTACAACATGCACTACTCGAAACTGGTAGTTGAAAAGTGTGATTGAGTGATAGTGAAGAATGCCCTTTATCTGCAGTGAGTTCAGAACTGACTCCTAGTCCATCACTAACTAAAACCCAGCATCACTTTACAGTTCCATTGTAACATCACATACATGTTCCAAACCTCAGACACTGGGGTATGCTCTAATGCATTTCAAATCCTTGTGAAGTCAACACACAGTCTTCCTAAAAATCTACTTTTGTCCCAGAGAGTTCAGGTAGAAAAGCCACCAGGAAATCTCCCGGGGAGCACTCTCAGAACTAGACAGGAGACACAGTTCTCTGATCAGCCATGATCCCAGCACAGCTGCAGTTGTGCCTTTCCCCTCACTGCAGTTTGAGACCAGGAAGCCAAATGACCGTGAACTAACCAGGTATTGCAGTGGTGGGGGTTGGGGTGGGTTTTTTGGCATGTTGTGAAACCACAACCAAGAGAGGTGATTAGAAGCAGCGAAAGTTAAGCTGTGTTTCCACAGTCCCTCTGAGGCAGCAGCACCCTTGTGTCCCCAGCAGCACCCACAGCACCCACTGCTGTGCAGGGACAGGGCTGGAGCCCAGGCAGAGCCCACAGCCCTGTGGCAGGCACAGGAATGCCTCCAGTCTCAGCTCAGGGGGCTCTGCCACCCGCAGCCAGGTTTGATCTGCACATCAAAACATCCCCAAAGCTAAGCCAGCACCCTGTTTTGTCTGCTGAGACAGCTTTTAGGTGGATCAAGATCTGATCTAACTCAGATGAGATAAACATCTGTGCTAACACAATGGAGCAGTGAGGACCCAGGGCCAGAGGGATGGCAGGAGCACCCCTGTGACAGCAGCAGGCTTTGTACCTGCTCACATTACGCTGCTGCTCGAGCAGGTGGCACCACGGCCGAGCCACCAGAACTGCAACTGCACCATCTCCTTTCCTCCCCTCCCACCAGCACCAGCAGCCTTTTATCCCTTATCTGAACCAGCTGACCACAGGGTTGGCACAAGAGAAAAGCAAGGAGTGTCCAACAGCGCCAGCTTAGATCAGCTCAAGCTGTCACAAGCGGCACTCCAAGGTCTGTTTGCCAACTTTACCTGGCACATTTTGGAAGCCAGTTAGTTATACAGGGAATGTTCTGAACACCTCTTAGGCATTCCTTGGCCCAAAACCAAACAAGAAGCCAGGCCTAGAAATACACCTTCCTAGGGACAAGCCACTATTTAAACATGTCTGCACATTTAGCTGACTCCCCAAGTGTTTATTTACACTCAAAATCCATGTACCAATCCTGATGATTCCCTTCAAGGGAGGAGGGAAAGTGAGGCAGCAAGATCTTGGTCTTCCAAACTACATCCTTTCTGGTCTGAGGCAGCCATCACATGTGCTCAACTGAAAGTGAATTAACCAGAGCAGCAGCAGCCTGCAGGAAGTCCATCCCCTGCATCCTTCAGGCACCTTCCCTCCTCTGCAGGCTAGGGCAGGGGAAATGCTCCTGCCATTGTAGCCAAAACCCTTAGGCTTAAAGAAAAACAATAATTCCATGACACAGAGAAGTCACACACAAAAACACCCAAAATGAAACCATCTTCCACACACACATACAAAAAAAAACCCCAAACAAGAAAAGAAAACCAATCAAAAAAGCAGGATAAACCTCCCCAAATATCCACAACAAAAAAACCTCCAAAACAAATAAAAAACCCCAAATCCCACAATCATCAGTGATGGCTCCAGTCACTGCTTAGCTTCATTATCTAAGTTTCCATACTTCTCCTTTCATATTCTATAGCCACAGAGTCTCCTCATATTCTCCCTTCTGTCCCACCTGAATGTCATCTTAGTCTCCAGCTTGTGTCTGGAGTCACAGCAGAAGGGACAGAAGTGAGATATCCACTTTCTAAGACCTCCCCTTTCCCTCTCAGTCCCACAGCCCTCTGTCTCTACCCCTAGAGCAGTCTCTTCTCCCTGCCCCCCAGCTTTGCTGCTCCCCTCAAGGGAAGGGGGAAGCACTCTCCATCCCTCCCCGTGACACAAGTTCATTACAAGCAGGTAATACCATTTGAGGAGGCTGATTTAAATAAACTGATTTGAACTGATAAAGCAGCATGTCCTTTCCATACCCACCCTCTGGCTGCAGGGCTGAAGGGAACAGCTCGTGGCAGGAGCTTATCATCAGCACGTGATAAGCACAGCACAGGCGCTGGGGCTGCTCTCCCTGCCCAGAGCAGGGTGCCCAGATGGGAGCAAGTGCAGCACAGCCCAAGCAAACTGCAGGCAATGCCTGTGTAGAAGCTTTCTCATCTAGAAAACAAAACTCAGAAAGGCCAAGGACTCCCAAATCCCGCTGCCTTTTGGAAAACCCTCCCTGCACCAGGACACAACCACCTGCCTCTGTGCAGCTCCCTGCCACGATAAAGCAAAGATGCAAAGCCCTTCTGGGTGACCCCTCCACGCTCCTGAGGAGCAGCACTTGTAACAGATACAGGATATCTGTGTAGGGTATCTGTACAATATGTCATGTTTAAGGGGCTTAGCAGCAGGACAGGCTAGCCAAAACCTCTGGTACCACACAGGCACAGCCTGCTGCCTGACCATCATACATAGATGTAAAGATCAAATATTATTACTGTTTGAGGCTTCCTTTGGTCTTGTCATAAAAGAAATCTTCTGTTAGTCTTATCAATACACAAGGCATACTGAAACAAGTCATTGCTTCAGATGCAAAATCCTTGAGAGGGGGATTTAGCAGGGTATCGATCTATTTGCCCCCTATGTTCAGCAGTTAAAAGTTTTTATTTGTGAGGACTAGAAGTTGCTTTTCATTTAAGACTCCAAGTGCCACTTTGAGTGGAATGGAATTTGCTGCCATCTGTTAGGATTGGTGTATAGCTAAACGCATCTAGCATGCAGCTTCTAATAACTGGACCTGAGTTAAAAAAGGCTGGAAAGTCTCCCCACAGGATGGTATCCGAGCCAGTGTCCTGACAGATTCCACACACCAACAGCTCAGTAGTTTGCCTTAGACAGGAGGCACCTAATGCTGCGCAGCAGCAGGACCCCCTCCCTTCAGAGCCTGCATTTAGCACTAATTACTGAAAGAGCAACAGCAAACTGAAGACAAAACAAAGTAACTCTCACACCACACCAACAGCATACCCTGATTTTGACTTCTGTATTTCAGCTTCCATAAAGGACCCTCACTGGCCCAACCAACATCTCCCAGGTTTCATGCAGCTGAATATTCACATACACACGTCTTATTGGAGTTCAAGTCATTAAGGATTCTCAGAGGGCTAATTAAGAGGAGTGAAAGAAGAGTAAATAAACCCCTGAAGTTTACTAAGGAGGTGAACACGCTCTCGGATAGTGTATGTTCACTGTATGTTCCTGAAGGCTGCACTAAATAAATAATCCCCTGATTCTCACAGACAGACCTGGAAAAAAATTGTCAGCATTAACACTGGCAAAGGAGATATGTGAAGTTAAAATATTTATCACCTTCTATGAAACTGAGCATAATTCCAATATTCCTTAGTGTGGTAAATAATCTGGTTTCAATGTATTTCCTCCAGATCTGTTTCAGCTTAAGACCTTCAGTAGCTATCACCATAAATCACTGAAATTGGATGTTTCAGCATTTAAGACCAAAGATCTTCAGTTCTCAAATACTGCAGAAGCTGGTGAGCATGAAAGAACTTAGTAATGAGTCCATAAGAAACACAAAGTTCTATTTCTAGTTCCCAAAGACTTAGTAGGAACATCTGCAGCCAAAATATTTAAACTCCCTGGATGACTGAAGTCAGACAGTGAGAATTACCTAAGTAATGCAGTTACTTTGAAGGAAGGGGCAGTAGGTCAGAGCCCAGCTGAGGTGGGGTGTTTGGAGTGTGTGCAGGGGAGAGCTCAGGGAATCAATCCCTGTGTATGGAGCAGCTCCCCAGAAATCCCGTGCTGAGGGAGGGCAGTGCTGGGGGCAAACGGGAACATTTAGTCCTTCAGGCTCAGCAGCTTCACACATACGATGAAGAGCTTGCCCACAGTGCAGAGGAATTTCAAACACAAGGACAAGCTGTCCCAAAAGTGGATCTGTAATGGGGTTTAGGAGAACCAAAAAGGCAGAGCAGAGGCAGTGGTCAGTAGTACCATAGATGCAAAGACCATCAGCAGAGATACTCAAGGAAGGCTGAAGGCCTAATTGAACCTAAACCAGAGAAGTATCCATATAAAGGGTCTTCATCAAAGTTCTGCCATATTAGATATGCTTTGTAAGCATTTCCCAGAAAGCAAGAAATCCATGCTAAACACGACCTCTCCTATCCAAGAGTACCAACATCAGCTCTAGAGAGGCAACAACTCTTGCCAAAAAGCCATCCTGTCACAACCTGCCTTCCCCAAAGCACACACCGGGGAGGTTTATGAGCAATTCTGAGCTGCCACGTGCCCACTCGTCCCACCACTCTGCAAGATCATGATGGAGAGAGTGACTTGGATGCAGCTGAGCCCAACTCAGGGCTTTAAGTTAACTTTAACTTAAAACTCAGTTTTAAGGCCACCAGGACAGACGAAGCACAGCCCCCTTGTTGGAGCCCCCCAGCAGCTCAGCTCTGCCCAAGGCACACGCTGTGTGTAAGGGATAACAGGCAGGGAGCAGGCAAGAAATCAAAACGGCAAGAGTGCCAAACAGAAGACCTACCTGAGAGAAAGACTAGCAGGAAGTTGGCATTTTAAGTAAGTATTTTGCTAAAAAATAAGTGAATATGCACACTAGGATTACTCTTAAATGAAAAAAGGTCAGGCAGGAAGACATCAAGCACAGAAAAAACAGGAACTCGTGTGATCCTTTCCCAGGCCATTCAGCCACTGAGTGTAAGAGAAGAGAATCCCAACTACCCTTGCTCAGGGATGATGGATTTGTCAGATTTTATTGCCTTATTGTAGCACAGATTAATACAAGCCTGTGCTGCAGGGAAGGCTGGGTCTCAAACACAAGGTGTCATTTAAGCCCCAGGACTGGGGTCTCGCTGTTCCCATCACCCCCTCCCAGTTCCCAGGAGCACTGCTGGGCACAGCCTGGCCAGGGCAGGGAGCAGGAGCCAGGGGAAGGCCACTGCCCACAAGCTGCACACTAATAAAAGCTGAAGATTAGCAGAATAGGAAAGCAAAAACATTACTCAGTTTTGTATGTTTGGGTTGTTACTCTGTTTTCAAACTTCGTTGCTCAGAGGTATCAGCACTACTTTGTTTCTCACCATCACTTGTTTTTAACAGGAGGGTCGAGAAAATTACCTTTCAGGCAGGTCACCTGAGAATTTAGTAAGTTTTCACACCCCTCATTTCTGCCAGAAACCATCTCACGAACTCAGCCATAAACAATGTGTTTGCCTGCCTCGGACTGAGAATAATTTTTACTCAACAGTTTATTTTACAATTTCACTTTTTCCTCAGTCCAGTTTCGCGTGGGACTCTACAAATCGCCCGAGAAGGAAGGACTCTCCCGCAGCCACAGCACCCTCGGCCTGGGGAGAATCCTCGCTGCATCCACTGCTCGCCCAATAAATGGCAGTAAGTGCCCGTAGGCCCCGCAGACCGAGCGAGGTGTGGGGAGCAGAGCCCCAGGAGAGCCCAGGAGGGCCGGGCCGGGCCCGCTCGGCACCCCCAGGCCGCGGGAGAACAGCGACACAAAGTTTGCGCTGCCCCAGGCCCGGCCCCGCTGGCAGGGCCCGCGCGGAGCAGGGCGCGGTGACACCTCCCGCCCGCCGCTCCCGGGGCGGGGGCACGGCCACGGGGGGCCTGGGCCGCGGGGGACCCCGGGGTCGCTCCCGCCCGCCCCGCGTTGGCCCCGCGGCCCCGGCCCGGCGCAGGGGGAGCCCCGGGGAAGGCGCGACCCCGCGCGGGCCCCGCGGCGGCAGCGCAGAGGTCAGCGCGGCGGAGGCTCCGGGCGGCGCCCGCGCCGCAGGCCCCGCGCTCGGCGGCGCCGCGGCGGAAGGTCAGGCCCGGCCGCCTTACCTGCGCCGAGGGCCCGGCAGGCATGTCGGGCCGCGCCGCTCCCTCAGCCGCCGGGCCGCGGCCGCTCGGCTCGGGCAGCGGCACCGGGAGCGCCGCTCACTGCGCTCGGCCCGCACCCGCTTCCGGCAGCGCCACAAAGCGCACGGCGGGGCCGCTCCCCGCGCATGCGCGACCGCGCCACGGCGCCGCTCCCCGCCCCGGCGCGCGGGCCCCGCGCCGGCAGCACCGAATAAGTCGCGGGGTCAGGGTGTGCGCATGCGCCGCGCGGGTTTACCCGCGCCCGGCGCCGCCGCTCTCGGCTCCCTCTTAAAGGGGCCGCGCCCGCCCCGCCCGCGGCTCCCCCGGGTCCGGACACGGCCGGCCCGGAGCCCTCGGGCCGAGGAGCCGCTGTCGCCCCAGGAGCAGCCCCGGGCCCGTCCAGCTCGAGCCCCAAAGGGCAGCGACCGCGGCTTGGGGCGGCCGGTGCCGCTCGGCTGCCCTGCCCTGAGGGCCGGGGCGGGCACAGCTCCGGTTCTGAGTCCCGGGCCCTGCCCCGTCTCGCCCTCCCCGCTGCTTTATTCCCATCCCGGCCTCGCCTGCGCTCCCCTGGCGCTTGGCACTGACTGCAGGCTGCGGGTGCCGGCCGTGCTGGGGGAGCCCCGGCGCTGGGGGTGACCCGGGCTCCAACACCACGGGGGATTTCGCCCCTCCACTCGCTCGGGTGGGACCCACCTGCGGAGCCGCCTCCAGCCCTGGGAATAACATTGCGGGGACGCAGAGCTGCTGGAGCGAGCCCAGAGGAGGCCACGGAGCCCCTCTGCTCTGGAACCAGAGCCGGGGATATTCACCTGGAGGAGGGAAGGCTCCAGAGAGACCTCAGAACCCCTTCCAGGGGCTCCAAGAGAGTTGGAGAGGGACTTTGGACAAGAGCCTGGAGTGACAGCACAAAGGGAATGGCTTCACACTGACAGAGGGCAGAGTTAGATTGGGTATTTCTGTCCCCCTGTCCTACAGTAAGACCCAAGTTCAGCATGTCCTGTGCACGGAGGCTGCTGACAGCAAGGGATGGGAGTTTTACAATAAAGAGTTGCTCAATGCTTTTACTGTAAATCTGGTCCTCCTGTTTGTTCTGCCCCTGAAGGGTGAGGAGGGCCCTTGCAGGACACAACCCTTCACAGTACCATGAATCTCTGATGTCTAATTAAAAAATAAGGGCCCTGGGTGTTAGTGAGGGGTGTCAGTGAGGCTGCTGGGGTGGTGCAGTGCAGCATGGACAGAGAGGACTGACTGGAAGGGGCATTTGGTGCACAGGCAGAGGCTCAGAGCCACCAGCCCTGCATGCAGAGAGCTGATACTCTGCAGAGCTGAGTCCCCAAAACCACAGTCTATTTGCCCAGCCCATCTTCCTCTCAGCCCCTTGCCTGCTAGATCAGAGGAGCAAACACTCCTTCCAGTCTCCTACATTAAACCTGACATCAGCAGAGGAAGGGAAGTTGGAGTTCACCTGCAGCAGCCCACGGAGAGCACCCTCTCCGTGTGTGTTTGCTGTTTGTGACTCCAAAACCACTGAGAGTGGCCTCAGGGCTGCCAGCTGCAGTTCAGCCTCTGTGGATTCTCATGGATTATTCCAGGGCTCATGCACCTTACCATTGTCACGTTACCTGTGTTTATGTATAAAAAAGCTGAGATCACTGTCTCTTTCTCCCCTCTCCAAAGCCAAGCTGCAGCAGGGCTGCTCCTGGAGCACACTGGAAGATCCCCATGCCCAGTACCCACATGGATCCTCACAGTGCAGTAAATCTGGTTGTCCCTTTCATCTTCCCAGCCAGGGTCAAGGACTCTCTGCTCCTGGTTGCTGTTGGATTCCTGTGGTTTCAGACTAGAAGTCCCCTCACCAAAGTCTTGAGGAGAGGTGGTCTCAGCCCTCATTCTGCATCTGTAACCACGATGTCACTGATGTGCTGCAGACATTCAGGGCATCACCCTGTTCCAGTGCAGCCTGAATCAGTCCATGGCAAATGGGAAGGTGGTGCTTCCCTCCTGGGACAGTCGATTCCAGGTGTATGGAACACCCCTCCACATCACAGCGAACAGTGGCTCGCACCCTGCTGCCACAGGAATTGAGAAAAACACATGGACATTGTCAGTTGTGACACCACTGGGCTGCTTGGACTCCAGTTTGTACTGCACATCTGGTACAGCAGCCCTTGTTCAGGTCGTGATGGCCCACTGGGAGCTCCCCCCTCTGTCAGAGTTTCACAGTGCCCACACGGGGCAGGTAAATTGTGAGTGGCTCCTGCTGATCACAGCCACGAGTCAGCCCATGGATGGGAACTGGGGAGTGTCAGTCAGTGGGATATTGTCCCCAGTGCACCACTGGAGGAGCCATCAGCACCTGCCGTTCTTCAGCCTTGCAGCAGTCCCACCAGAGAGGCATCCTCCAAGAGGCCAGGCAAGGGAGATGGCTGCTTAATTTTCTCTGTGCCCACAGCAGCTGCAGCAAAGGCCCAGCAATGCCCTCTTGGGTCCCTGAATTACCCTCCCCTGAAGCAGTCTGTGCCAAGGATACACGGGGCTCTGGGCTGGTCGCCAAAGGTGGCTTTTGCCACTTGTCCCCTGTTCAGTTCACTTCAACTCAACAACTGTTGGGTTTCACCAGCTCATCTCCCTCAGCTTTTCTTGCTGACCATGACAGCATATGGTCTGGAGTACCCCTTTGGTCAGCTGTCCTGGCTGTGTCCCCTCCCAGCTGCCTGCCCACCTGCAATCTTCTGGCCCTTGGTAGAGAAGATCCATCCCTGCAGAAATTGTGGCACATGGACCAAGAGTGTTATCTTGGAAGGACAAGCAGATACCCCTCCCCATGTCCCCCAGGATCTATGGATTTATTTCTCTTTGCCTCATGCAGAACCTGTGTGGAGCCTCACCCAGGATTCCCCAAAGCTTTCGTTTGCTGGGTGTTGTGTCTCAGCCCATGTGAAGTGCTGGACACTCCTGCCCTCTGGCCGCCCCAAAGCTCCTCTGTGGCACAGAGCACTGCATGGTGGGGTTTGCACATCACTGAGCTGTGGGGCACGAGGCTCGCAGGGCCAGAACGTCAATCAGGCTGCACCGAGCGGGACGGGGGCGATGGTGGTTGTGCTGTGCATAGCAAAGACCTTTGATGTAGGGGGATAATCAGGCACAATTAGGCACGGCTGAACCTCTGCAATGGCAGCTCTACATTTCTTCTGTGTGGACCACACATACCACCAGGTATGTTGGAATCTAGTCCATGTTGATTGTTTCCTTTCCCAGGTGAAAGCAGAAATATACAGAGATTGCAGATGCACCAGAAGAGGACAAAGGCTGCACACAAATCAATTGCTGTAAATCACTTGGCATTAGCCAAGGCATCATAGTTATCACTGTTGAAGGATCAGGAACTACTGGTTGCAGTACAGTTACCCATTCATTAATTGCTTGCAAGTCTTGGATAAATCCATGAACTATTTTTCCATCCAGACCTAGTTTAGGTTTTTGAATGGGCAAGGCAGGAGTATTACAGGATACTCATGAAGAATTGAAATCTCTTTTTTCAGAAAATCTTCAGTTACTGGTCTTTCCTTGCTTCCTGAGATAATGGGCACTGTTTTAAGGAGAGGGATTGGCCCCCCTTTGTTTCTATCTGCACTGGATCAGCTGACTTTGGTATCCCAACATCTTTGGAACTTTGGGTCCACCTTGTCCTCAGGACACCCTGCTCATGTCCCTTCTCACCGCTGTAATCCAGCAGTTAATCCTTCTATCACATGGACCTCAACAGCTTTATTAGGTAAGGTCACAATTGTCACCAGCTGGGATAGCTGACTTTGTGTCATTCCCATAGACCACGCTGGGGTTTGTAGTGCTCCCCCAGTCCATGAGTGTCATGTTTGTGTGAGGGTGTGGCAGTGCACCCGTCTCAGCAAGGACCAGCCCCTCTGGCCAGTGAGCTGGCCATGTCTCTGGCCAGCGTGACCAGCCCCGTCACCCTGCATGGTGGCTGTGGTGGGGCAGGAGGTCAGACCCCGCTCAGTGAGGGGGAACGTGACTGTGTCTGACCACAGGTCACATTCAGGGGGGCTACAGACCGAGCCCCAGTGGGCTCAGTGGAGCTGCTCCTCCTCAGAGCTGAGGGTCAGCAGACAGGGGCTCCTCCCGAGGAAACTCCTCGAGGCTGAGAGCCCTCACTGCATGAGGGATTGTGTGCTCTGGGTTACCCTTCTGAAATGTGGAGAATTCTTACAGTCAGGGAGCTCCAATTCCATTTGAGAGCACAAATCTGTATTCTAATGTTGTGGGAGCTTTAATTGGTTTATCTGGTTTATAAAATAAATCTCATTTGAACACATCCTCAATGACAGAGAACACTGGGTAATTCCATGTATCACACCTGACTCAGCATCTGCCAAGCACTCCCTCTGTGCAGCCCTCCTCGCACCAAGAGCAGGTGGTTTCCATAACAGCACTCTGTGGTTCACAAGAAATTTAGAAGGTAACGTACAGTCATTGACAGAAACGGAACAGCAGGGTGATGTGGAACAGCAACGTTCTGTTGTTGATGTAGATGTGTGCCATGAGATGCTGTAGAAGTACAAGTGTTACCTCAGAATCGGCACCTCATCTGTGCCACAAGGCAAGTGGCTCCTGTGGATTTAGCTCCAACAGCTGCTGTTATACAACTACTCCCACACACGACAAGTTTTTCCTTATTGCAACTCTTGTATTGCTGATTGTTGTAATGACTGTGTATGTAAGGATCTTCCTACTAACCGAAAAGCTTACTGATGTAAACTGCAAATTACAGCATCCTTAGGAAGACCCTAAAGACCACAACAGCAGGGGCATAAGGCTGTCCCTGCCATTCCTCATTTGCTTCTCACAGTCCTTCCAGTAATGGGTATTTTATTTGTCTCCTCCCAGAGTCAGAGCACCTTTCTCCTGGGGGCTGTACCGGGCACAGCAGCGAGCACAAGCCCGGGGTGGGTGGCAGAGGCCACCGGCTGTGCAGCCCCAGGGTGGCACTCACATGACCTACTAGACAGAGAGAGATTTATACACATTTATCTCTACATATGGGAGGCT